TGTCTGTTATATGGAACGGGATTGCAAAAAGCAAACCGTACATCAATGGAATCAATCTAATTCATATCTTTCAGCTTCTCGTACCATTGCCAGTCCTCATCCTGGGAGCCGAGTAGCACCAACTTGAGCCAATGCTGAGGCTAATTCTTCATACCTCTACGCCGCGGTGCTGCTTACAGCTTTAACCAGCACGTGCGAAGAGAGCACGGAAAGGTAGACGATAAACAAGCATACTCAAAACATAACCAAGTCATCGAAGGCAATGTAAAGCGATTGCTTCNCACACGACGACCAATTTCTTCATTGCTCGCATGAGAAATGCTTCGATCAGATTGGCCGAATAATGTACTCCTCAGCGACTGTTGCTTGCTTCCAACCCGTACGAAGCAGTGGATATCTGACTTCAGTAACACTGATGGAGAAAAAGCGGCAAGTCCCAAACTACTGAGATCAAAGCCGGGGTAGGTGGCGTCTGCAACGTCAGCTCACGAAGAGCTTCAAGAAAGACCGTGAAAAATGGCGGGCAAAAACGGCTAGTAAAATGGAACTAGCAGCTGCGTCAGGTAATTGTCAGACTGTTCCGACTGATACGCAATACGGGAGGTGGGCGAACTCCAGTTAGTGAAACAGTCTGCGATAAAAGGGGACAATCTATCCACCATAGGGATGAACGACTTGATCGCTGGACAGAACAACAAATAGGATTTCACCCAGGTTGCGGTTGCATCGACCAAATCTTCACGCTGAGTCAAGTCCTCGGACTACGCCATACACCCTTTCGACCAACGATTGTCCGTGACCTAAAAGGAGCGTTCAACTCAGTTGATCGTGAATCTTTTATGGATCCTCTCCTTCGCAATGGAATACTGCAGAAGTATATGAATATATTGGGGTCATTCTACTCGCGTACTTCTGGTAGCGTGACAGTCTAGGGCGTGCTGAGTAGGTCGTTCGTTACTAGCAGTGGTGTTCGTCCAGGATGCCCTGTTTCACCATTCCTGTTCTGACTGTCGATATTTTCGATGTGACTACTTTCTTGACACCTCCAGCTGTGATCAAGCTACCCAGGGGCTTTTAGCTCTCGATTACTTCTAGGTGATCATCACAGAGTGAGTGCAGGCACAGGATGCTGCGAGTTTTGTACGATCACTTTGCACCTCGATGGTGCAAAGTACATGCAATATCTGGATACCTATTTCTCCAAGTGGTTTAAAATATGTTCAACTGTCGGTACTGTCGCCCTAAAGTTCGATGTCATCGGCATATTCCAAGTCAACAACTCTGTTCCCTGAGAGGAGTTCAACTCCACCATTTGCTAGACCGGATAAAACATTCTGTAGAACATCCTCTTTGACCAGTCTTTGAGCCGTATAACAACTAGTCGAACTTCTGCATTATATACTTGACCCTTCACAGAAATCCAGATGTCGCGACGGTACCACAGGTGTCCCAAGTCGGTAGGTGACAGTCGAGTCTTCTGTATGCTTGCCGACACTTCATCCGTGATGCTTCTGCCGGTTAAGATATAGCTACCCAGATGACAAAATTTGTCTATTTGCTCGATTGCTCACCCTGTTGAAGTGAGCTTGTTAGCTAGACCAACCCAGCCTTGTAGCAATATTTTACACTTTGAAGATGCAAAATGCATGCCGAACATACACTACACTAGCACCAACTTATCCATAAACGCTTGCAACCTCCCTGGATCTTCACTTAGTTGTGCAAGGTCGTCTGCATACTCTGGATCAGATGGTCTGCCATCTGGAAGCAAATCGATGCCACTATTCTCGCACGCGAATAGGGCTGTTTCCATAATCCAATGTATAACAAATTTAAATAGAAAGGGAGTTAAAGAACAACTCTGACAAACACCACTTTCCGTGATGAAATCGGTCGAAAAAGGACCGTAATATCGAACCCGACCTCGGTTATTAGGAAGAGATCGTTGAATCGAAATTAACTTCCCGGATCAACCATTTAGGGAAAAAACAGTGCCACAGTTTAGACTGATCCACTGAGTCGCAGGTCGCTTCAGATCGAAGAAGACATGGTGAATCTACGAAACGAGTATCTGCGATCTAGGATTTTGCAGAGAGTGAAAGTGTGGTCTATACAACCTCGACTGGGTCTAAAACCAGCCTGATTCTCACACGTGCACCGTTCACGCGCTGAAAGCAATCGACGGAATATGATGCCGGTGAGAAGTTTAGTGACTAATTCCTCTGTGGTTTTCACAAGAGGATCTGTCATCCTTCATGTAAATCCGTGAGCTGATCGATTCACACCATTCAATAAGAACTTGCGCACTCTATCACATTGAGCCCAGGAGTTTTGTCAACTCCAAGCGCAGGCTGAGCCTCCATCCTTAAAAACGATACGGACAGCCCGTATGGGCCTCATATCTTTTGAGATAACTTATTTCAATGGAAACCTCCATTTCGGATTGAGAACAGATTTCAATTGGCAGTAGTTGCCCAGTTGATATAGAGGTTGGCAGGCCCAATTTTGATGGGGGTAAGTTTAACTTCACCTCAAAATGTTCAGTCCGTCGTTCAAGACGGCGTTACTGAATAGGAATCAGTGTGCTTTCAGACTCCCTAATTACCTTACTTACGCCTACTTTCCTTGGGCTAGTATTCCTAATTAGACGGCAAGGATTGCGACTATTACCGATAGCCGCAGCCTTACTCATCTCTCTTCAATTCCCTGTGCACCACATCTCGCGGTCATTCCTCGGGCTATTGATGAGCTGGGTTTTACGGTAGATCGTTTGCCTCATACTCAAATCTTTCCTATCGGTGACTCGAATATATGTATATATATATATCTTTACAGATCTTTCCATGGCGGTTGCACTTGACGTCTCTTATGCGCGTTGAGACCGCCAGATTTCGCCGTGCTTCGATATGCTCACTGAAGGTCGTAATTGACCGATTGCGGAGACTCGGAAGAAACCCAGGGTGTCGCGGCTCGATGTGTCAAGCCACAACTTACTAAGCCAGCAAAATAGACAGCGGTCTTGATGTGACTAGTACTGATTACTTTTATCAGGCGGGGTTGATTCTATGTTTTCAGCTAGCGCTTTTTGAAAGACAGCTAGGCAAGCTGCTTGAAACAACTTACTACACTCTAACCGTCGTTGTAGTGCCGTCGATAGTGTCTTTTCTTGTAACTTGCTCGCTCATCCGTTACACTTGGCATTTAAACAATTGGCACGGTAGATCTTACGTGAATCTTTTAGTGTGTCCTCTAAATTCTGGCTTTAACCCTGCCATGCATTTTCATGTAATAAAAAGTAGTTTGGTTAACGTGTGTCCTCGAGAAAGCCTTATCTAATAGACAACGGGACAATGGCGAGGATGTTACTAGTTGACGATCACATACGCCACATTACACTAGTGTGCTCATGCTTATGAAACTTTATAAAGCGGGTGTTCACCAAACGAAAACCCGCCACGTCCTCACACAATTAATCACAGTTGGCTCCATTCTACAGCCTTGAAACTCTCCAGGTTGCATTCAAATCCGCCCCAGGCATTTTGTGGTAACCGTTTAAATCCAGTGAGCGGTTGAGTAAGTGTAACCCAAAACAAATGTAGATCCGTGTCAGGTCCTTCGAAGTGAAAGACTGAGAACGTGGGCCTTCTGATGTAAACTTAAATATGAAATCAGTTTTATGGAAATCCTAATGATTTTCACTGAAAACATGTCAGGTTTGGACTCAATGAATCCGTATTTCGATTGTGAATTAGGGACCACATTTCAAATGCACTTCTTTGTGTCTCTGTACTCTCTCAGCCTTGCAGTGTAAAGTTATCACCAGTATTTTCTGATTTTGTCTATTTTTAAAACGCAGATTGATGATGATTTTATCGCACGCTATCAAATGAATTATGGCTCAGATTTGTCACAAGTTTCTTCCGGCCCCGGCGAAAACCCTTCACATGCTGCGGGACCGGTTGATTGGACCGATTTCAATGCCAAATTGGCACGTCTTCGTGAGGAAAAAGGTGACGATTCTGAGGAAGTGCAACAACTCACCAAAGCAGCTCACGAATCACTTAATGCCTACTACAATTCACCGGCCTATCGAGAGTGGTATGAGGCCTACTGCAAACAGAAAGAAATCACAGTTCCGAAACAAAATCAAACAGTCCAAGTATCGCAGAACCTCCCACAGAAAAGTAAAAAACTGCGATACGATTTGAAACCATCAGAAAGAATGCGTGGTATGTTAGATGCGGATGGCGAGGATCCAGACGAAGCTTTAGCTCGAGCTGAAGCAGAACTTCAAGCCGGAATCCCTTTGGTATCAGATTTGAGGGATGCACCACACCCGTCCACTGATACAGCCCTCGAAAGTGATAAGGGAAACGAAACTTCCACAAATCCCGGAAACCAAACGACAATTAATCCAACCCAGGCTGATGGCACTGTTGAATCGAAAAAAACGTCTGCAGCTAAACGGAAACAGATAGCACCTCCTCCCGCCTGGTATGAGGTAAGGTTTCAGCACCGTAATATACTTCGTGTTTTTATGCACAGAATGATTGTTCCTGCAGGATGAACGTAAGGAATGAATGGGTATTTTCAGTACAGTCTATCTTCCTAGTCAGACTACATGACTTTGATAAAGGCTTGAGGATTTATAGAACAGATATCAAGTAGTATTTAACTCTGCGGTCAACTTATTTCTCACTTCTGGGGATTGCCATCTTCGTCGGCAAAATGAAATTACCCTCTCTTACTCAAGCTACTTATAAGTAGTAAGAATAAAACAGAATTGTGTGTCAAAATCCGACTCAGCTGAAAACCCCGTAGTTTGTCTGTTTATTGTCTACCGCATGAATGCATGAAAATGATTTAGTTTTAGGGGCGTCTACCGAAATGAAGCGATGAGAATAACGCCGTAAGTGTATCTTTTGACTTCCTTTTTATTTACTGAATATACGAAATGTCTAAACAGTCCCACAGAGCACATTTCAAATAGAACAAGGATTGGCGAACGAGCTCGTTTTCAGTGGTTCGTAGTCATGCCAAATACATCACAATAAATATTACGTTGTTTATATATAAATCAGTATTNTAAATGTTTCGGGAAAGGGAAAATAATCTCATGGGTTATCCGGGGCTAAGTTCATCTTGGGACCGGATATGAAATTCTCAATGATCACACCGGAGCATCTCAAACGACTCAAAGACCCGCAGAAAAATAGAGAAATCATAATATCCAAGCCCGACAAAAGGGCAGGGATTGTACTTCTGAACCGCACAGATTATGTACAAAAGATGGAAGCCATATTGAGTGGCTGATCGAAATTCACCAAAACAACACAAAAGGATAGGACCGCTCAAATAGAGGTTGCCCTATCAAAGATGTTGAGATGT